CTGGAAATCGGTGATCAAGAACACAGGTCAACTCATATCTCACAAAAAGTAAAGTGAAAAGCAAAACTTAACTCTGCCTTCTGTATCTGCCCCTTTGTGAATTATCCATTTTAAGCTTGACAAACTTCATTTATCCAGAATTTGTTCTAGCAGACAATTCAGTTTACCCATTAAAAATTAAAATACACCGGCATAAAAAACTATGGTTTTAGGGCTGGGGCATCACTCAAGTGGTAAAGAGCCTGCCTAGCCAGCAGCTGGACCTAAATTCAAACCCCAGTAACTGCATACTGCCACACCCCACCACCACCACCACCACCACCAAAAAAAAAAAAAAACCCACTACAACCTTGTTTAACTTGCAACCCAATTAAAAGAAATAGGTTTAGGCTTAGGTTTCAACACAAACAGGAATTACCTGAGTTTTTTCTTATTAAAGCAAATCCTAAAAGGATTTATATCAAAATGATTTTTGCTATTAAATGACATTATTGTATATATTTAAAAGCATCTAATACTTTTAAAACAATTTAGGATATTCTTTGAGATTTTTATTTGTTTGGAGCCAGGATAGATAAATAGCTCAGGCTAACCTTGCCTCAGCTTCCCAGAGTACTGGGATTACACGTATGAGCCATAAAGCCCAGCTGAGGTTAACTAACATACCCAAATATATGCATATTTTTTGGTGAGACAGGATGTGAACTCAGGGCTTCACACTTGCAAAATAGGTGCTCTACTGCTTGAGCCACACCTCCAGTCCATTTTGCTCTGGTTATTTTGGAGATGGGGGTCTCTCAAACTACTTTTTTCTCAAACTATTTTGAGACTGGGCTGGCCTCAAATATCAATCCTCCTGATCTCAGCCTCCCAACTAGCTAGTATTACAGGCATGATTCACTGGCACCTGGCTCTGCCCAAATATTCTTAATTAGCAAGGTTTAATTTTTTAACAAAACCCAAATCTTCATGTTAAAAATCGCATTATTATTAAATACGTTAAGATGTGCTTATTTACTTAATATTAAGTTACAAAAGCTTCACTTTTTTAAAAAAAAAGCAATCCTTTTTCTCCCAAGATTCAGTCTTACCTTTCTATTTTTATGCAGTCCTACAGATTAATTATTACTTTTACAAAGATACAGCACAGTACTAAGAGATATCATGCAGGTCCCAGCACTAAAACAAATCAATTTTAGCAGCAGTAATTCTCCACAGAGTACCACTTTCTAGACAAGGCAGATAAAAATCCTCAAATCCATTAAACTATTCATAAAGTGGATCATCTTGAAGTAGAAGCAAATTCATGAATATGATGCTTGCTTTTGGTACCTCACTTATTTGACACTTCAGTTACTTTAGTGAGAAACAATACCAACAGCAAACAAAGCTCAAAAGAAAAAACCACCACAAATTTCAAAACAATGCTGTTAGTATAAAAAAGAAAGGTGGACACATCTCAAAGCGCACTGATCAACACTGTCATGCATCTACCGCTGAGGGTTAAAGCCCAAAGCCTGGTATTTATCTAGGTGATCTTCACAGATCAAGCAAGGATTTGAAATCATCTCACGTGCAACAGTCTTTGCATAGCACCCCATTTATTTTATCCATGCCACAAAAATGGTAAATTTAGTAGTTACCAATAAATAAGTTGGGGGTCAAAGGGACAAAAGTCTTAGACTGTTCTTTATCATAAGATATCCTCAGACAAACCTCCCCATTCTTCATTCTGGCTCTATAAAGTTAAGGAGCAGAGAAAAACTGGTAAGTGCCTAACTTTACAGAAAAAAAAAAATCACACTATTATTTTCTTTTCATTATATATGTGTGTGTTTATAAAATAAATCCAACTGCATTATTATCCCTCACTCTACTCCAAAAACTATAGCTTAAAATAGGTATGTGGGAGGGGGAAGATTCCAAACATTGTGAAGAATATGAATTTAGTAATCTCAGTATGTAACACCTTAATAATTTAAGAATCAATGTTAGTACCAGTGGCACGTTAAGATATGCTTTAAAATTTAACAATCAAATGCTAAAAAATTGGATAATGGGCCAATTTCTGGGCTTTCTCCCCCACATCTAATTATGTATTCATATAACCAAATAACAAAAGGAATAAACAGAGTTCAGTCTACAAATGCCAAAAATAATCCTTTGTTTACCAAGTAATTAAACACAATAAAAAGATATCATTATTAAATTATGTCTCCCAACCTTTTAGCAATTATTATTCATGTACACATTTATGCTATGTTATTACTAGCTGTAATATGCAAACAGAAAATCTACTTTAGCCACTGATCATCTGCCCTATTTGCCTACAAAATGAAGGACTACCTAACTTATGTCACATAACAAATGGGGTAAAAGGGAAAATTTTTTTTTAAATTTCTGAGTAAACATCCTTAAAGGACAGAAATATATATTTCACGAATTAAAAAAGAATTAAAATCAAGCTCATTCTGTGATTTGCATATTATCTTTTAACCTAACAGATACAAGTTCATTTTAAGTTCAAAGTCATCTTTGGAGCTTAGAAATAACCCATAAGACTTGACACTAAGTAGAAAAATCACAATACATGAAAAATTAGATTAAAATTAAGTAACTATTAGTTCTACTAACAACTTAAGGCTGCATTTACCTAAGTATTTCTACAACTTTATTTATAGTTTTAGAAGAAAAATCACTTCAGGACATTGAGTAAGTGAATACCATATCCCAAACTACAAGACCAAAAACCTATTATACATCTAGGCATTTTGATAAACTTAATAAGAAATGATTTGAAAAAAATATTATTTATATTTACATATCTAATAAAAAGTTCTAAGTATTGATAATATAAACAATGAAAATCCCTACCCTAAGAAGTCAAAGATGGCATCTGACTTGGGAAATATTCTTCCATAATAACTTTTTTTATCCCCTAGTACATTAAATACTCAATACATGCTATCATGTACAAACAGCACTGCTCACATAAAGTTGTACAGCAATTTTCCAGTAGCATTTAAAAATTAATACATGCACAAGATGTCACTGCCCTAAACATTACTCTCTAGGAAACACATTAAAAGTAAAAGCTGAACTTCAATATCTTTAAAAATATTTTAAAGCAATGTAATTAATCAGAAAATGATGAAATACTAGGTTCCGGTGGAATAGAATATAGTTTCATAATAATGAAATACAAAAGTGATCAAGAAGACAAATATGAAAAATTCCCAATTTCTAATTCTGGTTTTGACCTAATTTAAAAAAAAACTGATTAGTGAACAGCAAAATAAGGAAGTATTAACTTTAAAAACAATTTTATTGTAAGTCTAGAATACACAGTTGCAGTCAACATACATGATGTTAAATTAAAAATCTCTAATGTCTGCAATCAACTAATAAACCACAATGGCAAACTGTACACACATTTTGCTACTGAACAGCAGATGGTATGAGCACTGCCAATGAAATACTTCACTTCTGCAGACACTCCTACCACTCTTTTGATAACTACTAAGATCGTTAAATGTACAATGCATTGTCTCAGATTTAATATGTGTATATACTCTGGATGATGTTACCAGAACTTCAACTGAACAGTTACTCCACAACTGATAGAGGCAGGGGATTCCCTACTATTTCTCTCCTCCCCAGAGAACAACAGTAAAGAAATTATAATGAAGAATTAAGTTACCCTGCTCCCCTTATTTCATTCCCTTAAAGCTTGCCATCTCTATAAATAACAGAAATGCTAAAAAATTGAATTAAAACAAAGTGAAAACTGATTAACAAATATGTACTGCACAAAAAAGGGTTAAAATAAGTTGGAAAAACAAAACCACACTTTTTCATTGTTTCTGGAAAATGAATCTGTGGGTCAAAAACATTCAGCTGGGTCCTAGTGGGATCACTATAATCCTCACTACTTCGGAGGCTGAGATCAGGAAGATTGTGGTTCAAGGCCAGCTGGGGCAAGTAGTTTGAGAGACCCCAGCTCTAAAACAACCACAGTAAATGTTGCTCAAGTGGTAGAGTGCCTGCTTTGCAAGCTCAAAGCCTGAGTTCAAACTCCAGGCCCACCCAAAAAAAAAAAAAAAAAAAAAAAAAACTTTTTGTATACATGCATAGATACGCACATACTTAACAATTACCTCAATGAAAACACATTGTACTTTTTTATATTTGCTATCCCCTTCTCATGTTAGAAACTTTCTATATGACAATAACCACAATTAGCTTGAAAGCACAATTTAACTTAGTACCTAAATTAAGTTATCATCAAAATTTAAATTTTAAAACAGAAAGTGCAAGCAAGCATCAAATACACGATTAGCCCAGGATGAATGTGGCAATTAGAAAGGGAATGGTTCTGAGATACGGAGATTAAGACAAGAATATAATAGTTTTGACAGAACATAGCTTGTTATTTAAGAAGAATAAAAAGAAGTACAAACACTTTTTAGTTTTGTTAACACAAAACCAGAAAGTTCTACAAAAAAGTGCAATTAGAAAACACTACCATTTGCTTGGCTACATTTGCACTTAATGGACATGAGTGAAAACATGAACCAATTTGGAATGAAAATGCCATAATCTCACAGTCAACTTCTAATTATCCATAATAGTGAAAAAGGGGGTTACCTTAAGTAATTCAAAAACAATGGATGGAGATTTCTCAACTTATGGTTATTTTTGGCCAATTTTTTCCTTTCTTAAAGTAGCATTCTACAGGTATAGACTCCAGTGTTTTAGGGTCTAAAACTGGGTCATCAAGAATAAGCCTGACCCACAGACCATCTCCAAAGTGAACCATCCATCCACAGATAATAAATGAGTTGATGTGACTGACACATATTCCAATCAATAAACTACACATGGACACTACATGCCAAACATGCTTTGAAGTAATTTCTGAAACTGTAAGAATAATCACTGAGACTTCCCTAGCAAAAGCAAAACATGCTAGTGCCTAGTCAGCAGAATGAGTAGCTTACCTCCTGCAGAAGATCAGCCTGCTCAATTGCTTTAAGGACATTTTTCTTGGACGTTTCCTGAACTTCCCCTCCCAAAAGAAACTCATCTAAAATAAAATAAGCCTTCTCAAAATTAAAGATGATATCAAGTTCACACACCTGCAAAGCAAAAACACAAAGCCAATAACTTAAGCCAAAGGTGCTTATTACTATCAGGTAAGTGAATAAAATTAGAGCAGAGCAAATCAATCTTAATTCTCTCTAAAAATGGCAATCACTCTGACTAAGCATCAGTGGTTTAAGTAAGCTTAATTTCCATATCTCAAGTACTTGGAAACAAAATGCTGACAAGGTAAGTAAGACCAGGTTCTGCATGTTCCCAATGTGAACTAACAATTTTCTACTCAGAAAAACTTATCTTTAAATACATATTTCCCGCTAACCAAATCTGAATTCTGTACTAAGCACATCCAGAATATTAATGTTTGCAGCAAGACTCCTTTTTATTTTACTATTTTAAAACTCATTCTCACCATCAAAATTAAACGAGCAAATCTATAGGGCCAGTGTTTCTGGAAGGTAACTGACTAGATAAATGAAAAATAGTAATTTCTGCCCTCTCCCTACAGTTAGAAGCCTCAAGACAACCAAATAAACTTGTTAGAGAAAAGATAAAAAATAAACTACTACTCACACTGCCAAAGTATTTGTCAAGTAATTCCACATAACGATGAATTATTTCCAGGGTAATTAGTTCATTGTCCTGATCCTCAATTGCACAGCAAAAATACAGACTAGCGTATCTGTAATAAAATACAAATGTGGGAAAAAATGTTATCCCTCTCATGTTTTCTAAATGTTTTCATGTCCTATTGTGAAAAACCTCATGCCATTAACATGTTTATTTCTTCATTTACAATATTACTGATTATTTTTCTCCTAGACTACAGAAATAATAAACACATATGAGAAATTTTGGAAAGCACAGGCAGGCAAAAAAAAAAAAATCATACCACTGTAGAAAGAGTAACTGATTTTGCTCTTCTTCCTTTCAGGTTCCTATGAATATTTGAAAACACAGTTGAACAAGTTTTCATAACAAAATATACTGCATTATTAATTCAAACTACAAGTAAACAGGGAAGAAAATAAACCTTCAATATCTTCCAACTAAGGACTTATTGAAGATATTGCTAATACAAAGTCAATGTTTGGAAACATTTTATTCAAATATAGTGTATAAACACAGAGATCTCAGGTCACAAAAGCTCAGTGAGTTTTCAATGAACCTATCTATGTACCAACATCCAGATCACAACAGAATGCTACAGAACCCTGAAGACTCTCCTACATTCTCTTCCAGTCACAACCTGTCACCTGTAGGGGGAACCACTACCTCACCTTCTAACAGCACAGAATTGTTTTTACAAAGGAGATTTCTAGGATATGTACCAACAAATAATACTTAATAATAAGTAAAACACTCCCAACACTAATTTTTATTTGTTTGTTTTATAGTGATGGAGATCAAACCCAGGGCCTGGCATATGAGTTCATCCTCAACCCTCTAAATATTTACTTTCACTAAGAACAGAAAAAGAGCCATCAAGTTAAAGAATTCTTCCTTTCAGGTAAACAGGTAGCTATCAGGATAAGAACATCTCTTTTCAGAAAGCTTAGGGAAGGAAGAAACAGAAGCAAAACAGGTATCTGCTTTAGTTTCTCTGCGTTAAGGGCAACAAATGCTAGCTAATTTTTTAGGTGTCTTACCTATCCTCACCCCTCCCTTGTGTGCTCTCGCTTTTATCATGTGCTCATAGTCTAATCCCATTGTTGTGTTTGCCCTAGATCTAATGTCCACATATGAGGGAGAACTAAAGCAGATACCTTAAATGCAACTGAGGCCAATAGGAAAAGGGGAACAGGTACTAGAGAAAAGGTTAGATCAAAAAGAATTAACCTAGAAGGTAACACACATGCACAGGAAATCAATGTGAGTCAATACCCTGTATAGCTATCCTTATCTCAACCAGCAAAAACCCTTGTCCCTTCCTGTTATTGCTTATACTCTCTCTACAACAAAATTAGAAATAAGGGCAAGATAGTTTCTGCTGGGTATTGAGGGGGTGGGGGGGGAGAGGGAGGGGGTAGAGTGGGTGGTAAGGGAGGGGGTGGGGGCAGGGGGGAGAAATGAACCAAGCCTTGTATGCACATATGAATAATAAATGAAAAAAAAAAAGAAGCAAAACAGGTACATTTGACTGAGTCCTCACTCTACGCGAGGCACTAAATGTTAGCTAAAGCTTTTGCATATTTTGCCATTTTAATTTTCAAAACAACCCTACCAGAGACATCATTATTATTTGCATTTATGGGAGAACCAGGTTTGAGTACACTCCCCAGAACGCAATTTGACCCCAGAGCCCAAGTTTTACATTAAAATCATTGCTGCCAACTATATTAAAATAATTCCATACCTGGCAAAAATTAAAGCATGTTCAAAGCAATATTTTAAGAGCCTTGACGAGGGAGAGAAATAAAAAAATATCATACCAATTTAGTAAAAGATTACCAAGAGAATCTGAAATGGAATCCCTATTTTTAGGACCAAATGGTTCTTAAAAATTCAATAATGAGCTCATTTTGTTCTTTTAGTGAATATTTGTAAGTTTAAACCTGAAGTAAAATTAGTAATAGACTAGTAAGAAGAAAGGTATTTTGGGTATTTTTAGCACAGTGGATTAAGGCTTACTCTAATTACTGGCACTCAGAGAACATCTGAAAGTGCCTATTCTTATGTTCAAAACACATGACTTCTCTGCAGTCAGCTAAATATCAGCTGACTGTGGATGAATGTAGCTAAACTGTTCTCAATACCCACTGGTATGTCATTAAAAATTCTTTTGTTAGTAAAGAAAATCAATAAGTACCCTTCAACAAATTCTCAAGCTAGTAACATGGGGATGTATTTTTAAATTAATTTTAAAAAGACTTTTAATTCAATGCTTCTTCCATCAAATGCTGCATGGAATAGGAATCAGAAAAGCATACAATATTCTGTCTTCAAGGGATCTTCAAGAGCATTCATTTATTCTAGAGATAAGGGAACAAAGCAAAAGGGACTTGTTCAAAGTCACAAAACTAGCTAATGGCACCAATGGACAGAACTCAAATTTTTCCATCAGTCTTTTTAGCTATATTACCCTTATCCGCTTTCCTCTGGATGCCAGGAACTCAGGAGGAATAATGTGGACCATTTAGGGCTGGTGGAGTGGCTCAAGTGGTAAGAGTGCCTGTTTAGCAAGCTTGAGGCCCTGAGTTCAAACTCCAGTGCAGCCAAAGAAAGAACAAAAACAAAAAGGCTCTCCCACAATAATGTGGATGATTTAACAAAGAAGACATAAAAACATTTAACAGCAAAAGTACTAGTTCAGAATTTCTCAAGTTAAGCAGCAATTCTCTGGCTTACAAAGTCTTTTCTTCTGGCTGGAGCAGGGAAAAAAATTGCCTGCTAATATTAACAAAACAATGTCATTAAGTGGTAAGCAGATGATGTTTTTAGTATGAAATGAGGGGGGATATAAACAAAAACAGATGATAAATTCTATCTTTTGTATATGACATATCTCAGTAAAGCGGGTGTTTTGTTTGTTTTTGGTTTTTTGCAGTACTGGGGCTTGAACTCAGGGCCTACACCTTGAGCTACTCCACCAGCCCTTTTTTGTCAAGGGTTACTTTCAACATAGGATTCTCGCCAACTATTTGCCTGGGCTAGGCTGGCTTCAAACCATGATCCTCCTGATCTCTGCCTCCTGAGTGGCTAGGGTTACAGGTGTGAGCCACTGGTGCCTCGCAAAGATAGGATTTTTTTGTGTGTGTGGGACTGGGGTTTAAACTCAGAGATTCACATTTGCAAAGCAGGTGCTCTACTGCTTGAGCCACACCTCCAGTCTATTTTTTTTTTCTTAAGTATACCTTCTGTTTAAAGGAGCTTTGAGAGCAGCAGGTGTGACTCAAGTGATAGAGTACCTCGCTTGCAAGCAACTAATCCCTGAGTTCAAACCCTAAAACCACCAAAAAAACCCACCACCAACAAAAAAACCCAAAACACAAAAAATACAGGGTCTTTGACCTAAGTGTCAGAGTCAGGTTAGATTTTCCTTTTTAAAAAAGACAGTGGCCCAGCAGACAGAGGCCGAGTAGCAAGTATATGAGCAACAACCTGCTCTTTCTTCCTTTAACAGCCCATTCATGGGCTTTATTCCCTTGCTGGGATTTTCCTCCTCCACACAGGGGCTCCTTCCCCTATCTAGAAATAAGCTTAAACCTCTCACACTTTTTCAAACCCTGTCCTAAACCATAGCTATGGGTAGGTGCCATTCTCTGCTGTTCTTCAGAGTAAAGCTCCCCCAAACAGTCTACATATGCTGTTTAAATTTCTCTACCTCTTCATGCTTCACCCCACTACACAGAAAGTTCTATCTCTACTACTACATGGAAAATGTTCTGGCAAGGGGCATTTTATGAAATGCTCACTTTAAAATCTAATGGTCTTTCTTCACTTTCATTGAACTTTACATGACATCATCTGGCATTCATGATTTTACTTTCACAACTCTGCTTCCTGACTTTACTGACCTAAAACTTACTCTTTGGTTTCTCATTCCATTCAGCAGAGGTCTCTTCTTCTTCTTCTTTTTCTTGTTGTACTGGGGTTTGAACTCAGGGCCTCACACTCGCTAGGCAGGTGCTCTGCAACTTGAACCACTCTGCCAGACCATTTTTGTGTTGGTTATCTTCAAGATAGGGTCTTAGGAACTATTTGTTCAGAGCTGGCTTCAAACCGCGATCCTCCTGATCTCTGCCTCCAAAGTGGTTAGGATTACAGACCTGAGCCACTGGTGACCGGCTGCAGGTCTCTTTATCCTCTCCTACTTGCTGCCTTGAGGCTGGTTATCTAACACTTTATGTCTAACTTCCCCCCAAATTTCCACGACTATGCCCATCACACCCCATTTCTTACAGAAGTTATACACAGTCATCCCATCTTCAAGTTAGCCAAAAATGAGTTGAGTTCTCTAGCGCACAATTTATACCATCAGTCAAACCCAAAATATGGAGATCACCTCACTCTTCTTTTTCCTTAGCTGCCCTCCCCACTTCTAGGTGTAACCAAGTCTTATCAAACTTCCCTAGGTAACAGCTCTTCTTTCCACCTTCTAGTTTCAGCATCTCATTATTATGTAGTCCTCTACTGATCTTACAGGTACCAGTTTCAGCCCTTCCCTTTCCCAATCCACTGTCTTACTGCAATCTTCTAAAAAATGCAAATCTAACCTTTTTTCACCCCTATTAAACCTTTGCCTCCACACTTGAGATTTGAGTCATAAACCCACGTGAATTCCTAGCATATGACCTTACACAAATCACCATTCCCAACTGTCATTTCTTTTTTTAATGAAATTTGATCAACAGTGCTTTTCAAAACTAGGAATTGTCTCCTGTGCGGACGGTAGAGGCCAACTGAGCAGGTGGACAGGATACCTGTTTCCGATTTCATAAGAGCAGCTCCATTTCCACTTATTTTTTTAAAGTTCTACCCCTGGGCAAAAAGCTTTATTAAAAGACAAACAAAAACACTTGACTACATTAATCTAAGATATCACCCAGCTCTCAAATGCTATGGTTATTAACAAGTACTAAACTGAGCAATGGATACAAAAGTCACCCAAAATGATCAAATTCATTCTGGAATAAAGATAAGTCTACAGTATTTGAGAAACTCTCTATATCCTATAATCTTCATTTCTTCCTCCACAAAAATCCCATCCATATTTGGAGTACAATAAAGAACAAAGAAGCCAAGCACCAGTAGCTCATGCCTGTAATCCTAGCTACTTGGGAGGCTAAGATCAAGATGAGCAAAGTTCAAGGCCAGTCTGGACAAATAGTTCAAGAGACCCCCATCTCCAAAATAACCAGAATAAGCCAGGCACTGGTGGCTCATGCCTGTAATCCTAGCTACTGAGGCGGCAGAGATCAGAAGGATCTCAGTTCGAAGCCAGCCTGGGCATAATAGTTCAAGAGACCCTATCTCAAAAAAACCCTTCACAAAAAAGGGCTGGCAGAGTGGCTCAAAGTCCCCAGTCCACAAAAACCAACCAGAACAAAATGGACTGGAGGTGTAGCTCAAGTGGTGGAGCACTTTCTGTGCATGCACAAAGCCCTGAGTTCAAACATTGGTCCACAAAAACAAAAGAAAACAAAACAACAAAAAATTACCAGAACAAAACAGATTGGAGGTGTGGCTCAACCAGCAGAGCACCTTCTATGCATGCATGAAGCCCTGAGTTCAAACACTGGTCCCACCAAAAAAGAAAAAAGAAAGCCAGACTCCTCTTCCATCCTTCTTGAATTCTATAGTTACTTTCCTGCATACTCATACAAGAGCATTTCTTACACACAGAAATGCTTTTATCTAAAATTAAGTAAATTATTCAAAAGGAAACCGAAATGTAGAAGAAACAAGCAAATGTTCCCTCAAAAATGTTTCGGAAAAGAAGAAATTATATTTTATTTAACCTGCCTGGAACAATCTTCTGAAATTTATGGTATTCAGAGTTTCAGATACCAACCCCAGTGTAAAAAGCTAATCTATGAGTCATGTTGCAACACTGAATTAAAAAAAAAAAAATCTTCCTTAGTAAAATTATCATATCTAAGCACATCTCTACCACAGCAACAAGTGTATTTCAAATTAATAACTATTACTAACAAGGAGATCTTGTATATACAAGGTTTTTAAGCATCTGTATGACTGAGATGGTCTATGTTTCCAATATGCTTATAAGCAAGATTGTAAAGTCAGATAAAAAACATGTCTAACAGCAGTTATTACTTTACAGATCTGTGGGGAGGAGAGATTACTCTTTGATCTATGCTTGTCTGGATTCAGAAAATTACTCACATAATTTAAAATACTGACCCTATTTGTCCCTGCAATGAAATGAATTCATTGAATTTGTCTAAAAAGATGATCAAGCATGAATAATCATTTATGTCTTTAATTATGTAATTAGTTTTAAAATGGAGTTCCCTGCTGTTATCATTTTAGCTGGGCAATCAGTCAAAACAGCAGTTATATTAAAATACAAGACTTTCCTTTAAACCTATTTCATCTAAATGTTTATTAATCATTATTTATAAATTTCATCATTCAAAAGCCTGCAATTTCCCTATTATATATGATCTAACATTTGATTCTATTTCACCTTTCTGCTAAATAAAAAATTGTACCTTTTGTAAACAATCTTCAGATCTCGCCACTCAAGGAAGCTGCACATTTTAGGTTTCCGTGCTAAAACGGTTTGAACAAGTTCTCTTGTGATTTTTTTCTTCTCTTTGTCTGACAGTGGGACATACCATTTCTGCAGTCGAAGCTTTCCCTGACGACTAAAAAGTAACATAAACTGCATCTGTTAAGATAAATAAAAGCAAGATTACATACAATACATAGTTAAGAATAAGATTGCATATTTCTCCGAGAAGCTTTGGGGACAGGGCATTTAACTGACATTTAACAGCCATCAATATTTCTATGCCAATTAAAATAGCAGAAAATTCTTTAGAAAGTCTTCCTACTAGATGCAAACCTTCCCTTCCCACCCTACCCTATTTCACATCCATTTGGAAGGGAGTGTGTGGAAATAAAGAAAAACAGGTCATAAGTTGACTGAAATTTTTAAAGAAAAAGACAATTCTGGTAATTTAAGAAACTATTTTCTCCCTGTGTTGTACGCTTCACACTCTACATGCATCAGAAGAGAATTGTAGACATCAATTGGTGTAGGTACATTAGGAAGAAATAGGAGACCTACTATTTTTCACCCTGAGGCTGTTCTAGTTCCAGGCTGAATTACTTACAGACAGACTGCTTATCACTTAGAATGTTCTAAAATGTTAACCAATAAAAGAAGATTTCATAAATACACATTTCTCTTAATAAAAGCCTGATTTTTATATTCTCATTTCACTTTTTAAAAATTCCAACACAAATATCCACACAAGAATAGTTAATGTAGTATTATGAAATACAAACGTTATGAAAGCCAAAGTAAGAGTTACACATATTCAGAGACATTATTTGAAATACAATAAAACATAAAAATAGCATTTACAGATGGAGTGAATGCCGAATTCTAGTGTATTTTACACTTAAGTTAATTAGTATGGATTTATTTAGAATCTGCAAGTCTGTTGATTAGCCTAGATGTTTTTTAAGGCAAGCATTTTGTAATTCAACTGGTTATCTCAACCACAAACAGGTTAAGTATTGTTTCTACAAAGGTAATTTCAGGTAAAATTAGGATAGGTATTCTTTTTTCTTTTAACCCTTCAAAGTTCCTTTAACAATGTTAATGCAAGTAAGATTCAAACGATACTTAGTATTCACCACACCATCTTGAATTGGAACACGGGCAAGGGGAATGGACACAACCAATGTAGACTTTTAAAATGGGTTCTAAATTTTCTTAAGAAATTATTACGGCTTTTTTCAATAACCCAAAAAGGTTATTACGGTATCTGGAAATTTATGACGTGGCAATTTAACTCTAATAAAGTTAAAATTGGCTTCATTTCTCCACTAAACATGCACCAGCAGCACAAATACACGGTATTATTCAGTGATTCCAAAGTCCTGAAGATAGCGACATTCGAAAGCGACAGCAAGCGAAGCGTCAACTGGACATTTAATGCAAGCCCGTTAGCAGAAGTTGGAAAAGAAGGCACCCCGTATTCCTAGATCTTGGTGTCAAGGAGGGGTGGGGACTTCTAAGCCAAGAGTGGGCTCAAGGCTAAGTGTAGCAGGGTCCTGTATCCACCCTACCACTTTGTAGGACGAAAACCCCAATATATGCTCCTTAAAATAAACGATGTGTTAACATGGGACGAAACCCGGTTTTAAGACACAAGTATTCATTCTTCCCTCTTGTTAAAAACCAATGCTTTGATTTTGCCGCAAATCACGGACCATCACAATTCCTCGCGATTAGTATTAAAAACAATGGGCTCAGCCTCGGAGTGGGCTCAGGTCCAGCGTTCCTTGGGTCCCGCGGTCTCCGATGTCTCCCCTCCTCTCGGGGCCACACTCCATCACTGACCGAGCCTGGGAGAGGTGACAGGCAAGGAGCGGAGCAGACAATGGCATCCGCCGCCGAGCAGGGGGCGCCAAGAGTCTTCGGCCGCGCCACCCCCGGGTCGCTGGCCCCTCCCAAAAACGCCCCGCAAAACTTGAGGCGATTCCTGAACCACAGGTGCCGCGGGGCCCCCGCGAAGCCCAGGACTGGTTCCCCGCATCTCCCAACGCAGCGCATAGTGGGGTGCAGGGCGCGGACGTGGACAGAAGTGAGTTGCGGGGCGCGGCGCCCCAGTAGCGGGTCGGGCGGGCTCGGGGTGGGGTCGTCGGGGCGCGCGCGGGGCGGCGGAGGGCGAGCCCAGCCATCCCTCCCTCTTCCCATGCCCGGTACCTCCACTCGCCCCTCGAGACTTACGGTGGCCGCGGGCCGCGAAAGCGGCGGAGCTCAGCCGGCGGCGTCTAAGGGGAAGCCCCTGTCGCTGTTCTGTGGAAGAGAAGCCGTGTCGCTGTGGGGAGGGGAGCGGCTTCGCTGAGGGCAGGCTTAAGGCGGCTAGTGGGAGGGCGAGCCAACAGACCCCGCCCCGGAGGCTGGACGAGGGAGGAGTCGGGGCTGCGGCGAGCAGAGGGGCGGGCTGGGCGACGTGCGCGAAGCAGCTCACCGGTAGCCAACGGCACCAGAGGCAGCCCTGGTGCCGCGTAGTCTCAGGAAGCCGATTGGCTACGTCTCCACCAAGAGGAGTGATGCGAACCGGAAGGTGGGCCACGTGACCCGGAAGCGGCGTTTGCCGCGGCCGGCGCGCCTGCGTACTTGTGCCCGTGCCGCTCGAACGCGCGCGGGCTGCTGCTCTGGCTCTTTAAATGGCAGGAGGATGGGTTCCGCGGCGCCCTTAGGTGACCCGGTGGCGCAGGGCAGGGAAGGTCCGGACCGCAGAGAGCCAAGTTCTATCCCCGATGGGTCTCCGTGCCCCTAAAAGGGTGGGACAGGGAAGTGTGACGGTCGGTGGTAATGGTAGCAGGAGAGAGGGTGTTCTACAACTCTGGGGAAAACAAGTCAGCTCTTACGTGGGGCTCGTGCATGCTTTCAACCGGAGGCCTTTCCTTCCCAACGCACTGCTACAGCTCTAGCCCCAGATCCCTCTCGCCCCAAGAGTGTCTTTCCTGGGCATTCCTCTCCCGTCCTCAATGCTGCGGACAGATGAGTTAACTGTTCTCGGCCGAAAAGCCCGGGCAGCATTTCGTCTTCGAGATTCCGCTTCCTTCACTCGGTGTCGCCCCCACCAGCCGCCTGGGTTGCAGTTTAGCCTTGCCGAAGACTTGCTCTGCCTGGCATGTCCTTCCTCTCAAGTGTCATATCTATGAAGCCTCACCCTAAAGCCCTGTAAGAATGAATCTTTCACCCACATGCCCCTTAGCTTCTATTTAGCACATCTTGGATTTTATCTTGCACCCTAACCTAGTTTTCCTGCCTGATAATGTAACACAACTGATAAGCGTGAGTTGGTTAATTAAGACTATAAAATGATAGATTTGTTGAGTCCTAATGCTAACCTGGTGCTGGACACGTAATGGATGTTCATATTTTGTTTTTGAATGATAGAATGGAAGAATCGTTTAGATGAACTCATCTTTTATCGATTAGGGGAGAAGAGCCCCACGGGATTAGGTGACCTTGTTTGAATAGCCTTGGGTTTCCCATGTCAAATGCTTGTTCGTACTAAGGAAGCTAGAAAATTGCTTTTGTTGAGCCTTGCCCCGCTTTGCAGAGGTTGCTAAACATAGTCGCCAGAATTTTTTAATGACCCAAGTATAAAACATGCTGAAATTTTCATGAAGCTAAATTCACTCGATTTAAAGGAATCCTTTTTTAGAAATTATGTTCATTTTTGTGTTACAGTGTCTATAAAACTAAGGTAATATGATAGAAACTTGAGGGCATTTTTAATGCCCCCTTATTTAGCAAAATGAAAAACGCACTACTATGCAGCTTGGAAAGTTTCCTACTAACATGTATGATTAATGTATACCAGCATATTAAAGAAGTGGTTCACGGAAAGCACAGAGTTGGCTTTCTATACTTTTTTTAGGACCCTGCCTCAATTTTTCTCATTTCTGCCCAAATATGCCCCCAAAGATCTTGCCAAACCAGATACCATTATAGTTCTAATACAACACAATGAAAACTCGCCCTTTGATTCCAAATGCTGCCTCCTCTTTTTCTGTACAAAACAAAGCTTCTGAGATAGCCACCTCCAAGTTTAAAGTTATTGGATGTGCTCCTGATGTTGGGCTGTGGCTCGGAAAATGAGAACAGGAGACTTGCTGATGACATACTGGCAGTCTCATCTCTGTGTTCCTAGCCAAAAAACGGGGCGGGGGAGAGGGGGGCAGAGAGAGGAAGGAATTATGGGAAAAATAATTAGCTGCTGAAAGCAGCTATTACATAATCTTGGCTGCTTATTAATTTAGCAGAAGGAATGGCTTATTACGTTCTAATAGCAACAGCACAACTGCAAACAACCTAGCAATTAACAGTGCAGGGCCCATTATTTTGTTAATATGTTCTCTTCTTTTGGCAAGTGTATGAGAACAAAATTTATAGAAGCAGATGGTCTTTTTCAGTAGATTTATAGATGGTTTATTCACCAGTCTTGGTATTAAGTGCTAATTGTGCATTCACTGTGAAAGACAAAAAGAAACATGGTTGCCATCTTTGTTAGTAATTAACTGGTTTGACTTTGATTCCCACAATTTCCAAATTATAGGCTTTGTTACATACATGTTTCTTCTCACCTAGTATCTTTTTCATCTGTCATGTCAATAGGGTATGTTTTTTAATTATCTGTTTCTGTTTTCAGGATAAGTCTGCTTTCTTTGTGTTAATAATACAAAAATAATTTTCATGAAACATGAAAAGTCAGATTTTATACTCGTTTCTTAAAAAAAAAAAGTACCTCACTGTCATTTATTCTAAATGCAAGGAATGAGGGTGAACTAGGGATTCTATAGTCTAACAATAAAGTTTTGAAACTTTTTATGCAGTTGTCTGAAGTTTTCAAAAATAATTTTCATTTCCTGTTTAATGTGTGATGGCCATATACTTTTATCTCCTTTCCCCCTCAAAACACCATTGAATGAAAGAAGAAAAAAGAGGAAGGAATGTTTAAACCGTATATCCACATGTACAATAACAGAAGGGACATTGATATGAGAATTTCAGTAAGGATGTCAGGGTATGCCATCAACACGTTTAAACACTGATTATTTAAATAAAAAATTAATATATTGAGACTACTGAGGAGCAGAGGGAAAGTTTGAAATTATGCTAAAATAAATAATATATGAAATAAATCCAGAAATAGAATTAGTGTATTCCTTAGATACCAGGAAGTAAACTCCACAAGCAGTGGTGAATTTCTTTCCAGGTACAGAATCTTAAGGTAGGGTGTAATAAAGGCAATTATTCAATTTGTATGTAAATAACTTACTATAATGAAGTAGACAAAACAGATTTGTTGCCAACTACATATTGTGGACTCCTACAGAGATCCTTTAGCCAGTGTATAGATTATTTAGAAACTACTAAATAAAAATATCTAATAATGGAATTTAGTGCTGAGTCAGTATACAAGATATGTGCAAAAAGATGCTTAGAATTTATGAATTTGAATCTCCAAAGATAAAGTTGTTCTAAGGAGAAAACTAGCCTAAAATAATGAGGATTTGTGAACCAGATCATTTCAGGATAGAGCTGTCACTGCCAAAGTCTTCAACAATGAGCTAAAAAGAAATGTAGAACATATGTTCTTTCTTGAAGCTTCTTTCCATAGCTTTGAATAAAATGTAGGAAATTACTATTCTCCTATTACTACTAGGTTATTCTCAACCTGGGTAATTTTGTTCTCCAGGGTACACTTGGCAGTGTCTGGAGACATTTTGTTCATCACAACCAAGAGTAGATAGCATAGAGGCCAGGGATGCTGCTCAAAATCCTGCGATGCACAGGACAACTCTCACAACAAAGAATGACCCAGTCCCAAATGTCACCAGTGTCAAGGGTGAGGAAGCCTGCATTAGCCACTGAGAAGGTTAACATGCAGTAACAGGTCTTTTATAAACATTGCAAGAAGTGGAACAAGCACTATCTTCATGTAAGTTTTTTCTTTCTCTCTCTTGGAGGAGATAGAGGCATTGTTCTTAATTGGTAGATAAAGTCCTAAACTGCAAAAAAGGCTGCCACGGTCAATATTCTTTAATGGTAGCTAGAATAAATTATCCAAATGGGGTTTTAAAAGAATGTGATCCCAGAACTTTAGTCTAATTACTTGAATCCACGAGATGACTATTCCATCCACTCATTTTCCATAAATGCTTATGGTAGAAGATAATGGGGATACAAAGATGAGTAAGATGTTGACTCAGTCCTTAAGTCCAAACCCAGAATTTCTAACTCAGAATTTCAAGTCTTTGGAGACAAACCCTGAATGGTCAAAAGAACAGTCATCAGCCACACATATGAATACACTTTCTTACAGGAAACTGCTAGAGATGCTTCATAGAACCTTATATTTCTGTGACTGACCCCTTTGGAAACCATCTGCCCTTATGACCTCCCAGGTCATGAGTGGCATGCTTTTCATTCTGTGAGTTTTGTGTATTACTCCTAATTCACAGCAATATGAAAAAGAGAGAGAGTCTATATGTGTTAAACAATTTGAAATAACAGATTTTTGTGGGGGGTTTGAACTTAAGGCCTCACACTTGTTAGGCAGGTGCTCTACCACTTGAGCCACATCTCAGCCCTGAAATAGCATTTTGACTTGGTTCTTAAAATGAAATGCTTTGAAATAATTGAACTCAATTTTAAATAGCTAGCCTAGTGGTTCTAGAATATTCTCTTAGGTGACTTGTACAAATACAGATTTCTGGGTCTCATTTCCAGAGTCTCTGATTCAACAGGTCTGAGGGGAGGCCTGAAAATTTTATTTCTAACAAGTTCTTGGATAATGCT